GGAATGCATTTTCTCAATCATGTTTAGACAAAAATCACTTTAAATAGCATCACTCTAAAAGAGGATTTAGTTTGTACTGTACCAGTAGTGCAAGTTTCCAGTGATCAAGGCCACAGTGTCCTGTGACCTGGTAGGCAACACTCACCTCACATACCGAGTGTCCATGGTTCAATCCCCAGCCGTGTGAAAACATTGGGTGTGTTTCCTTACACCTGCTGTCCCCATTCACCTAGCAAGCAAGCACATTGATACCTGGGTGTTAGTCGACTGGTGTGGGTCACATCCTGGGGGACAAGATTGAAGAACCCCAATGGAAATAAATAAGGCAGACAGTCCTTGATGATGCACTGACTGTCTTAGGTTATCCTGGGTGGCTAACCCTCTGGGGGTTAAAAACCTGAACAAACTATGAGTTTATCTTGCAGCCAGTGATGTAGCATAGACCCCAAACTGGCAAAATTCAGAGTAGCTGAACCCACAACCTGAACTGCCCAAGGATAAGACTAGATTTTGTTTGGAATTTTAACCAGAAGTGTTAGCCACCCAGGATAACCTAATAAAGTGAGTGTATAACTGAGGACTGTCTTTCTTATTTTGATTGGGGTCCTTTAATTTTGTCCCCCAGGATGTGACCCACAACAGTCAATTAACACCCAGGTACCTACTTACTGCTAGGCAAACCAGGGGCAACAGGTGTAAGGAAACATGTCCAACATATCACCTGTGTGTACAAGAATGGTATACAATACCGACAAGATGAAATTGAGACACATGTGCAACATCTGGGTATCTTGATTGTAGATGTTTCGCCATCCAGTGGCTTTATCAATACAAATTCCAGGACATAACTTGAAGACAGGAGAACTATGTACAGAAGATGAGGTAATCAGTCCCTCAACCTAGCAGTAGGTGCGAAGAGCACCATAGTCGTGGAGAATCTCCACGACTATGGTGCTCTTCGCACCTACTGCTAGGTTGAGGGACTGATTACCCTGGAAAAACATTTGTGCGTCATTTAAGATTATAATCATAAGGGAGCGCTAAACCCATAGGATTATACAGCGCATGTGGTGGGGGGGAAGGTATGTACTCAGGTTTAATTCAGGGAACTGGAGCACAGATCCAATTCCCTAGATCAAGAGCCCCTCACCAGCATCAAGGAACCTCCCTTGAGGGGCTTCATTTAAGAGTGTACACACCTATTATGTCCTGTTGAAGACTTGTACATTTCATTTAAAACTGTTAAGAGTACACAATAGTCAGTTCCTCTTTAGTTACAGATATTTCTGTAGTCTACTGCTTTCTTTTAGTATTTTGTGGCATTTGGTAAGTCATAATGACTTCTTACCAATCCTCAGTATTTGGCAGTATTGTGTGAAACTGATACATTGTACACACACAAATATGTGCTTGACGATGGAAAACTTAGGAAGACTGAACGTTAACAATGTCCTTGATGAGCTGTTATTCCACACTTCTCTAATATTATTCATGAAGGTAAATACACCATGTCAGCACTGACCTGTACTACAGTACAACAGAGCAAAATAAAATTTATTTTCCATATACGTAATAGTATTACATACATTGTATTCTGGTCTATAAATCATCGTATGGTCCAGAGTCCATAGGTATGCAATGCATTTCAGGCAGACTTAAGATTAAACATACAGTATATACTATCTGTTTAAGGTTTTTTTTCAGGCCTGAAAACCATTTTCAAGTTGAGATGGTAAATATGAGGAATGACTTGCTTTAGCCAATTTTATTCTTAAAGTTAAGTGACTGGGTTTTTAATGTTAAATATATATCTATAAATGGGTTATGTTATTTCATTGTATGGAACATGTTAAAATAATAACTACTGAATATGAGATTAAAAATTAAAACATAAAAAAAAAGTTTTCCAGTAACATAATTTAGGTTTACTTGGAGTATACCTGGAGAGGGTTTCAGGGGTCAACGCTCCCACGGCCCAGTCTGTGACCAGGCCTCACAGTGGATCAGAGCCTGATCAACCAGGCTTGGTTAGTACTTGCCAACAGTTTATCTAGATTTGTTGGCAGAACTCTTTGCCAGCATTTAAATATCTGACTTCTGACAGCGTGTGAATATCAGAGAGATGAGCTGCAATCCATTTTACAGTATGTCCTTGTACAACAATTGCTCACTAAACCTCGTCGATAGGTTCTTGGAAACTGTGACTTGAAGCAAACGACATATAACAAAACCATACCACGCTGTCCATCATCAAATTTCTAGTTTTGTTTCTAATGTCACACTTCAGTTTTTGTGGGCAGAGACATCAGGGGTGCACATTGTACCTTCAGCACTCATTGTAACAGGGTTAAATCAAGGAATAAATGTTTTAAGGCGAGAATTGTAAGAAGCACCTACCACCACACAGCTGAAAAACAAACAATAACAAATATTGCAGGCTCACTAAACGCTTTTGTGTTGCATCATTTACTGTCATGCATTTGTATGATTATCGTATACTTAATGAATTTTTATTTTACAATAATTTGTATTGCACCGTATTATTCAATTTTTTTCCTCATCAACGTTATAACAAAATAACATTACTCGAGCACCTGCTGTACCTCCCTATTTTATCTACATTTTTGTGCAGCCACAATGATACAGTTGTATACAATATTTTAATTTTGTTCTAGCATAAACAGTATTGTGAAATATTTATTTCACTTTCACTATAGATGGGAGTTTCTTAGTACAGTGCAGCACTTTTGTGATACTACAGTAATAAACTGTTGCTTATCATTACTCCCAGATTGCTTTCTCTGTATGATGGTTTCAAGATTCTATCCATCAATTTCTCCAATTTTTTAATGAAGCTCGTGTCTGCCTTCTCCAATTTCCATTCATTAGTTCGTGTTCAATTTATGAATCATGTAAAAGAAAATTTGATGAACATAAAAAAAATTAAGCAATCTCACCAATGTACCCAAGTCACTGATTGGTCATGACAAGTTTAATATTTTCCTAATGACGAAGTTCTCTCATACGTATATTGTATTTAGTAAATTTACAAGCAAGCACTAGCTTTACCCTAACCTAAATGATGCAGTTGGATATCTTATGCCTGATTTCAGTCATCTGACAACTCGGTCTACTAAATTTGGTCAAAAAGCAAATTATGGTCATTTATTTTTCTCCAAAATTCAATCGTTATATTTATATAATTAACATTGCAGCCACAATAAAATCAAAATATTTTAACACTAAAAAATTTATACAAACACATTTGCATTGTGGCTTACAAAAAAAAATGCATTTGGTTTAAAAAAAAAGATAAAATACAAACAAAATTCCATTCAAAACCCAAGCCTACCTTCCCCACTACTTTTGTGTTATGCTAGCTAGATGCCAACAGCACTGAATCTGCTTATGAAGGCTCATCACGGAAACAGTTGACCGAAATGCATTGTACTCTCCTCCAGCTCATGCACCACTTGACCCATAGAGATGGAAAAACTGTTGTCATTGTAGATAAGAGAGGCAGATGAAGTGAGATACAGGGGCTGCAACTTACATCTGAGTGTGCAAATCCAAGCTACAGTAAAAGTAGCTCTTCCGAGGTCTTGGAACAAATTACTATATTACAACATATTTTGAGATTTGAGTTACAACAGAGGTATATGTCTTCTGGGGCTGATTAATAATGTAACTCGAGACACCACTGCATTGTGTTGTTTTCTCTATTGAATTGATCAAGCCTCAGGTAGGTGAAATGTTTCTTTAATACAAGTCCTGATACTGCCTGTGTTTTTTTATATACAAGATCCCCTACAGCCCAGTCCCAGATGAGGCATTTTGGTGGATCAAGGCCTGATCAACAAGGCTGTTACTGCTTGCTACATGCAATCTAACGTGTGAAACACAGCCCAACTGGTCAAAACTGATTTGAGGAATTTGGCATGTTCTTAACTATCAGCAAGCACTAACCTATTGTTTCAGACTATGGAACAATACTCTTCTCCAGACTGAGGGACTGACCACCTCAAAACTTCAAGGGTGATGGACTGATTACATCGTCTTCAAGTATCTTCTGCTTCTATCAACTTTTCTGTACTTGACTGAAAAAGCCTACTGTGTAGGCGAAATATTTCGAAATAAAGATACCTAACTGTTGCATATGTGTCTTACCTAACAACCTGTCGGTATTTTATACCATTTTAATGTTCACTCAAGCACTAACCTAACTTAAACCCAAATTACACTTTTGGATAACTCATATTGTTAGCTATACCATACATGTCACAGAAGCAGCTACTTGGATAACTCGCCAATAACGATTTGAAAAGTTGGAAACTTCACCATATACCATATAAGCAAACATGACTAACAGATGGCTCGAGCCCTTTCTTCACAAAAATTCCTTCACACCTGGCAACCAAACCTTCCTCTTATGTCCCCTACTATACCTATCTGCCTATGATTTATAAACGATCACCAACCTAATTTGCCCCAGCATTATAAAATACAGTGCCAGTTCAGTACGACACTCTCTTATTTCAAAAAATGTTTTTGTACCACTGTTGGTAATGTTTTGGACTCAAAATGTTTGTTTGGAGAATATCAGGACTTAGGAATAAATCATAGTTTTTTCCTTGGCAACTGCTGTTAAGGGTATAATTAAAAAGTTCATGAGGTAATCCTGTTCAATTCAAGGAAGACGAAGTCAGATCCAATTACCTGAATCAAGAGCCTCTGAAGGGAGGTTTCATAATGCTGGTGTGGGGCTCTTGATACAAGGAATAACTTGACTTATCCTCTCCTTCCTTAAATTGAACCTCAATGCTTCTCATTCCCAAGGGTTATATGACCCCTAAGAGTTTAGAGCTTCCTCCCAAATAAAAAACTATAATAAAATAGCATCAGGGAACCTTCCTTGAGGGTGATGTTAAGTGCAAACAGACATGGGAACACTTATGTTGGAATGTTAAGTGCTATGCTGAACATCAATATATGACACTCACCGGGAACTGTAGCAGGTCGCGGGGGAAGGCGCCATCATCAACACCAGTAATCTCGAAGGAAGGAGGGTGTGGGAATGGTCCTTTCCCGGGGTAGCTTGTAGAACGTCGAAACTTGTTCATCACCATGGAGGAAGCGTTGGGGAGGTTAGAGCTTTTTCGTGGGACAGAGGACATACCACCCAGGTTGTGGCTAAGAGGATTCATGCCTCCCATGCCACCCCTGCCTCGTGCAGACCACGAGCTGATTCCAGGTAGTGATGGTGCCCCAGGGGCATTACCTGGCCCACTTCCTGGACCCCCAGCAGAATTACCCTGGGGCGATGGTCCTGGAGACCATGCATTACCCTGTGAACCAAGTCCTGACGACCACGATGAAGAGTACTTATTGGCCAGAAAAGGGGCCTGGGGACCTGGGGCAGGCCCTAAGGATGGGGGTCTTGCCTGCCCTGGAAAGTTGGGTGCTGCCTGCTGCATGTTCCTACGCTGCTGAGGGTTTTGGGGCCCTGTCGGTCCTAGTCCCAACTGTGGCCCCAGATTGGCACTGAACAGGTGCGATGGACCACCAGAGCCTGGCCCTCCCGGGTTGCTCGGTCCTAGGCCATGAAATGCCAATGAGCCGTTGATTGTTGGCATACCAGAATGTAAAAGTGTGTCATCGACGGACGGAGGTGACCACAGGGAAGCTACAGAGGAGGCCAAGGAGGCTGGTAGGGCTGTAGGCTCCACCAGGCCTCCTCCACCCCCTGGTCCACCCACCACTCCTGAGCCCGGCCCACCTCCACCAGCTGCAGCAGCTGCTGCTGCCGCTGCAGCGGCGGCTGCGGCAGCCGCAGCTGCCGTAGGTACTCCTCCTGAACCTGGAGGACCTAGTACAGAAGGTCCAGGGGTACTACCTGACCCTAAAGGGCCAGGGACGGTGCCGGGCGCGTTGCTCCCCACCGGAGGCCCTGAAGACTCCCCCTTTACACCTGTTTTGGTATCATCGTCGTTATTTATGTGTTGCTGTTGTTGTTGCTGGTCATCAGTACCGTCGACCCCGGCAGTAGCCATCCCCTGCGGCTTGACGCCTCCACCCTGCTCAACGAGGCAGTCATCTTGCATTTTGCTTGTGGAGTTGCTGCCCCCGTCTGTTGCACTGGAGTAAAACACGCTCGGAGTCGACGTGTTAATTACGTAAGTTTCCGTACTTATGGAACTTACGGACGAAGCGTTGTTGTATTTAAAATCCCCCATGTATGATTTTGTTTTCATGAACTAGTATATACACTCATGGGGGTTCAACGTTCACAGGAGCTATCTCACATCTGCCTCTCGTCCCCCACCAACCTTACTTCTCCAGTCAGGTTCCAACAATATCGAATATGCGCAGAAACTGCAGACGATGCTATTCTAGGTACAGTAAACTCAACACTGTTACATCCAAATATTAATATTACTTTTATTGTGACTAGAAAGACATCATGGACATTCTACTATCATTTTAATCAAAAAGTAGTGGTAAATATTCAGCATAATTTCTGTTCATAAGAGCTTGCTTTTTGAGCGAAATCTAGAGGAATTCGTGATCGTAGCAGATTTATCGCTATTTGCGCCACTTTAAGCTAATTTATTTAATAAATTTTGTCCTTTTATCTGTTAGATATTAGATTTACCGGTATATAAGTATTAAATGATTGCATATTTTTCTTTTATATTGTCAAAAAGTGTGAAAATCGATAAGGAGCCGGGTAGGTGGTCGATGCTCAGCTGTTCCTTCACATCAGCTGACGAGCCACAACACCCCCACCTGGGGGGCGACGGGGGGGTCAAGGCTGCTCCACAACACATCCACTACTCATTAAATACTCATCAGAAAAATGTTATTTCCATGTAATATTTAGATTTATTTATAGAAATGTGTTAAAACATAAACAAGAAAATGATGTAAGTGTTCTTTTGAACATGATAGTCATGGAATTTATGGAAATAATTCAGAAAACTTGACACCTATATTTTGGTAACTTTATGGACGGGTTCACGGGCGTAATTGATGCCAACATCACGATAAACTTTCAAAGAATTTCGTCCTTTTTTTCAAATTTATTCGACCATCAAATTTATCCCCGTTATTTGTAGTCTGTAAAGTTGAGTGTAATGGGTACCATTAATGTCAGGGAGCCCATGAAAGTAGAGCACCACACAGTGCATGTGTGTGAGAATAATAATGTGTCAGAGATCACCAGGTTCAGTATATGATGAGTGCAGTCAACCCGCAGTCGCCTCTTACTACTTTTCACATGACCGCTTCCTGGCCGGCATGTCATTATCATAACTGAAAAATGACCTTCATAATCTAATAAAATCCTTCCTCCTGCACTACTCATGAAGCCTTTTATTTCCTTGAAAATACCCACAATGGCCATTTAAATGATGTGAATCCTATGGATAGAAAGTAATTTTATTTTGGTAATAATTTACACAAAATTTGGATGATTACAATTGTCTTACAGTGTAAATTCCTTTTGGGGTCCTTGTAATGTTATTATTTAAAGCCTTGCTGTAAGTTATAGTAGATATCAGTCATGATTATAACCTTAAAAATTAAAACAGTAAAGTAACTCAACTGTGTGTAAATCAGTTTTACTGAATATATTACATAATGCAAATCATGCGAACAATAATAAAAAGATCAGAACAGTAGTAAGCGTAAGTACTAAATGTGAGTTTATTATTAGTCCTTAAAAGTTTTATTTTATAAAAATGTAAACCAGGAATTACGTTCAGTTTGATGAATAAGAAACATGTGCAACACTTGGGTATCTTTATTCTGAAGACGTTTCGCCCACCAGTGGTTGTATCAGTTCAATAGAGAGGTATGGGAAGGCGATGAAACTGGAGGCAATAGAAGACAAGGTAATAAGTCTCTCAGCCTTGATGAAAGTATTCACTGCCTTAGTCTTCATCAAGATTACCTTATTTTCCACTTTCTCCAGCTTCACTGCCTTCATATACCTCGCTATTTGAACTGATAAAACCACTGGTTGGCTAAATGTCTTCAGAATAAAGATACCCGTAGGTGCTGCATTTGTCTTATTCATCAACTTGTCGGCAATAAGTCGGAAATAAGTCACTCTGTCTGACTTTTTTGGGTTATCCTAGGTTCTCTACACATATGCTGCTATGTATGATAATTCTATGTAACTGTATTTGTGTATACCTGAATAAACTTACTTACTTATTGTATGTCATTAACAATATGACACGTTTAGTTTGTAACGTTGCATTGAAAGACACTACACGATGCATACCTTGCGCCAATTTCAGACCATCACAACTAGTAATAAGACACATTTGCAACATTTGGGTGTCTTTATTCCTGAAACTTTTTCACCTGTGTTCAGTGGAATACTGGGAAAAATAATACAAGAATCAGTTTTGACGTTATCAGTCAGTCATCCTCGGTGGGAGGTAGTCAGTCCCTCAAGTCTAAAGCACAGCATGCAGCCAGACTATATACTAGAAGTGAGATGAAGCAGTTGGAATTGACGTAATAGGTATGCGTGGCCTATGAGCGGAAGTAGGTCATATGATACATCACAACTGGGTCTGGTCAGAAACTGGATGAGTGACCGCCTCGACATAAATTTCCATACAAATACTAGAGAAAATGTAGAGGTCTGTTATCACCAGAAGCCAAGAGGCATGAATAACGAGGAATGGCTAATTATATTTTTTTTATTATAATCATTAGATACGTCACACTGTGAGGGCATCTTTCACCCTAAACTTAAATACTTCCAACAGGTTTAAAGGTTTCTTATTTATGGTCGTCATTCGCCCAGGATATGACTTACAGTAGATCCTTCTCACTGAATATACACCGAGAGATGTGTGCCTCTCAGTATATAGAGATGTGTGCCTCTTAGTATATAGAGATGTGTGCCTCTCAGTATATAGAGATGTGTACCTCTCAGTATATAGAGATGTGTACCTCTCAGTATATAGAGATGTGTACCTCTCAGTATATAGAGATGTGTGCCTCTCAGTATATAGAGATGTGTGCCTCTTAGTATATAGAGATGTGTACCTCTCAGTATATAGAGATGTGTATCTCTCAGTATATAGAGATGTGTACCTCTCAGTATATAGAGATGTGTACCTCTCAGTATATAGAGATGTGTGCCTCTCAGTATATAGAGATGTGTACCTCTCAGTATATAGAGATGTGTCCTTCTCAGTATATAGAGATGTGTACCTCTCAGTATATAGAGATGTGTACCTCTCAGTATATAGAGATGTGTGCCTCTCAGTATATAGAGATGTGTACCTCTCAGTATATAGAGATGTGTACTTCTCAGTATATAGAGATGTGTACCTCTCAGTATATAGAGATGTGTACCTCTCAGTATATAGAGATGTGTACCTCTCAGTATATAGAGATGTGTGCCTCTCAGTATATAGAGATGTGTACCTCTCAGTATATAGAGATGTGTACCTCTCAGTATATAGAGATGTGTACCTCTCAGTATATAGAGATGTGTACCTCTCAGTATATAGAGATGTGTACCTCTCAGTATATAGAGATGTGTGCCTCTCAGTATATAGAGATGTGTACCTCTCAGTATATAGAGATGTGTACCTCTCAGTATATAGAGATGTGTACCTCTCAGTATATAGAGATGTGTACCTCTCAGTATATAGAGATGTGTACCTCTCAGTATATAGAGATGTGTACCTCTCAGTATATAGAGATGTGTACCTCTCAGTATATAGAGATGTGTACCTCTCAGTATATAGAGATGTGTACCTCTCAGTATATAGAGATGTGTGCATCTTTTACCTCTTTTTTTTACACAAATTTTACAGGCTAAGGTGTGTGTGTGTGTGTGTGTGTGTGTGTGTGTGTGTGTGTGTGTGTGTGTGTGTGTGTGTGTGTGTGTGTGTGTGTGTGTGTGTGTGTGTACTCACCTAGTTGTACTCACCTAGTTGAGGTTGCGGGGGTCGAGTCCGAGCTCCTGGCCCCGCCTCTTCACTGATCGCTACTAGGTCACTCTCCCTGAGCCGTGAGCTTTATCGTACCTCTGCTTAAAGCTATGTATGGATCCTGCCTCCACTACATCGCTTCCCAAACTATTCCACTTACTGACTACTCTGTGGCTGAAGAAATACTTCCTAACATCCCTGTGATTCATCTGTGTCTTTAGCTTCCAACTGTGTCCCCTTGTTACTGTGTCCAATCTCTGGAACATCCTGTTTTTGTCCACCTTGTCAATTCCTCTCAGTATTTGTATGTCGTTATCATGTCCCCCTATCTCTCCTGTCCTCCAGTGTCGTCAGGTTGATTTCCCTTAACCTCTCCTCGTAGGACATACCTCTTAGCTCTGGGACTAGTCTTGTTGCAAACCTTTGCACTTTCTCTAGTTTCTTTACGTGCTTGGCTAGGTGTGGGTTCCAAACTGGTGCCGCATACTCCAATATGGGCCTAACGTATACGGTGTACAGGGTCCTGAACGATTCCTTATTAAGATGTCGGAATGCTGTTCTGAGGTTTGCTAGGCGCCCATATGCTGCAGCAGTTATTTGGTTGATGTGCGCTTCAGGAGATGTGCCTGGTGTTATACTCACCCCAAGATCTTTTTCCTTGAGTGAGGTTTGTAGTCTCTGACCCCCTAGACTGTACTCCGTCTGCGGCCTTCTTTGCCCTTCCCCAATCTTCATGACTTTGCACTTGGTGGGATTGAACTCCAGGAGCCAATTGCTGGACCAGTTCTGCAGCCTGTCCAGATCCCTTTGTAGTTCTGCCTGGTCTTCGATCGAGTGTATTCTTCTCATCAACTTCACGTCATCTGCAAACAGGGACACCTCAGAGTCTATTCCTTCCGTCATGTCGTTCACAAATACCAGAAACAGCACTGGTCCTAGGACTGACCCCTGCGGGACCCCGCTGGTCACAGGTGCCCACTCTGACACCTCGCCACGTACCATGACTCGCTGCTGTCTTCCTGACAAGTATTCCCTGATCCATTGTAGTGCCTTCCCTGTTATCCCTGCTTGGTCCTCCAGTTTTTGCACCAATCTCTTGTGTGGAACTGTGTCAAACGCCTTCTTGCAGTCCAAGAAAATGCAATCCACCCACCCCTCTCTCTCTTGTCTTACTGCTGTCACCATGTCATAGAACTCCAGTAGTTTGTGACACAGGATTTCCCGTCCCTGAAACCATGCTGGCTGCTGTTGATGAGATCATTCCTTTCTAGGTGTTCCACCACTCTTCTCCTGATAATCTTCTCCATGATTTTGCATACTATACATGTCAGTGACACTGGTCTGTAGTTTAATGCTTCATGTCTGTCTCC